TAGTCTCTGGTTGAATCCATGGTACCTTCATGTGAAAACCGGTGAGATGGATGCGGAGACGAGTCCGTACTAGTCCTCGACCCTCCAGAGCCAGTTGAGGCGGCCCTTCGGAAAGTGCCTCGCCGAGAAGCCAACGACCCCGTGGGTTTCTTCTTCAACGGCGGAGGCGGAATATCAGCAGGCTGGTAGACACGGTCATGGAAGATTGCGCGAGGCCTTTTGGATGGGTCGATCAGGTATTCGGTGGTAGGAATTTTGGGGTTGATCAGGTCGTGAGCGGACTCGAAGAAGCTCGTTCTCGGCGGGGCAATATGCCGATTCTCTCCTCTTTCAAGTTCGTGGCCGGCAGTGACCTTGGAGGAGCCACCAGATGACTGCGATATCTCGTCAAAATTGATGGTCTGACTTCTCCTGTAAATCTTGTGTTGCTTGTTGGATATGGGTGGTGCCTTGGGCTGCGAAGAGTCGCTGCTCTTGAACATGGAGAAGAAGCCGGCGAATGGTCCACCACTATTTGCGTCTTTCCCGCCCTCAGGTCCTCCATCTTCATTATAAGGCGTGGGAACAGACCGCAAACTGGCCCTGTCATCTTCCATCATTGCGTTCCGCGGTGGCTGTGGAACCTCGACTGCATTGGACGGGGCCGTGGGGGTGATGTTGCCGGACTGGTCGTCGGGCGTCGCATCGTCTTCCGGAGGGAGCATGCTAGTTCTCCGAGGTGTGGGAGCCAAGCTACCGCCGGTTAGTTCAGCCCAACCGGCACCGACCAGAGTCTCAACCAAGCCAGCGTCTCGCCGGGCCTTCTCCACGCGTCCCAATCCTTGCCAGTCCAAGAACAAGAGACAGCTAGTTCTGAGTGGCACAATGCCATCGTTGACAACGTTGGAATACACCGTCCGGTTGCGAAACTTTTTCAGGGCAGTGTGAGCCGGTCCCGTCGGCAGGATCCTCAGCAGAGGCTTTGACTCTGGCTGAACTTCTCCCATGACCCTCTTGTGTGCGCTCTCTCCGAGGTTGCTGACGATTGCCCCCCACCCGCTCCTTGCGATGGTCGGCGCCCTCCAGGTTAGGCCAAGATCCTGGCCGGTTCTGCCTACCAGCCCGAAGTCGAGGGCAAATTTGACATAGAGAGGGTTCTCGTTGCTGAGACCGAGAAAAGGCGTGGCAAGAGCAACAAAGTTGATCGGTTTGATAACGTTAAAGAACTCTGGGGAGTGTTTCTGAATGTATGCAACGGCGTATGTTTGTATTAATCCACCCAGTGAATGTCCGATGAAACTGATGCTGGTAATGGTAAAGGGACGCTTCTCTTGTATCTCTTCTTTGTGTATAGTACTGTGTTTGTGGGCTGCCTTGTTGCTGTCTGGTTCAGATTTGTTAAAAACGGCAGCGACTGCTGATTCGGCGTGTCCTTTCTTGGACGGAAGAAAGGGCTGATCGGGGTAGGACATGGAGAGAACGTATCTAGCCAGTCTCTTACCCAGGTATTTAATACCCCTCTCCGTCCTTGTCGCATTGCCAGAGAAGCCTCGAACAATGACTTCCTCATCATCTCCGTCGTCCTCTGCAGGAGAGTCATCTTCGGGGACAGTCTCCTGTGAAGAGCTGGCCCCGTTCGTATCGGCATGTTCTTTGCTTTTTCTTTCTGCACGCTCCTTGGCACGTCTGGCCTTGGCATCAATCTTGGCCTGGGCTACCGTAGAATCAATGCTCTCCTTGAGATAGAGCATGTCTGCCCCGAGGTTACTGTGTAAGCCATGAGTCAAGACTACCAAATGGACCTTCTTTTGCTTCTCTTCGGGTTTCTTTTCTGTCTGAGCACTGCTGTCGTGGGCGACGCTCTCGACGGGCTGGTCCTTACGAGGCCGGCTCTTGAAACGGTCAATGTTGAGATCATCCCAGCCCGGAAGCCTCGGAGTATTCCACAATGCGGCCGTGTCCTCAACCTTGAGCTCGATGGCTTTGGAGAAGACGCCCTTCGGCTGCGCCGGATGATGTCCGTCCTTGGCGCCTAGGCTCTGCTGAAAGTCGGCGACCTTGCCGGGTTGCGGTACCTGCGCCTGGCCGCCAATGACGGGCAGAGAGTAGCTCAAATTCAGGGACTTGGCATCTCTTGCTATTGTCACCTCGTAGCCTACGGCAGCCGAGGTCGAGAAGATGACTTGGGACGATACCTCGACGATCCACGTTGCGCTTTCGATCTCGTGGTCCGGGGATACGCCAAAGTGACTGCCTCCTCCGGTCCCGGCACTCTGCCTTAAATGCTCCGGGACAATCAGTTCGCTCTCCCAAGAACCGCCAGCCTTGAGCATGGGCTCGAATTCGGGAACACCATAGCGACGGGGGTTGGCGAACTTGACGTTGGGGTCGAAGTTGGAGGGGTAAGCGGCGGCGGAAAGAGTGTAGGGGCCGTGGACGAAGGCGGCACGAAGGGCGATTGCTGAGGTGTTGCGGACGCGCAGGTAGAGGCGCTCGGGCGAAGGCAGAATTCGGTCTTGAGAGGGTGTGTAGGTGACGGTATAGCGGACGACCTCGCCAATCTTGACGCTCCCGACTTGGTAGACGAGAAGCATGGTGGTATCGAAGAGTGTGCTGGGTGCGCCGATGGGGTTCGGTTCGGTGCGGGTGGGAAGAGGTAGAGAGCAGGTCCGGCGTATATAACGAGAGAGCTGCTATCGTCGGTCTGTTGGTGACGCCGTCATCTCCGATCGGGTCGCTTCGGTGGCGGCAGACGGGGAAGTGAAGGGGTCGTCGAGTTTGTCGTGAGCGAAAAGACCGGTGAAGTGGCAGCGACGGTCAGATCAAGGGAATAGCGGGAGTCCGGTCGCGTGTTCGATCTCGCATTCGCACGGAGGGTGGGAAAGAGTGGTGTCGAGAGGGCATACGAGGCGTATCCCACACATGCAAGAAGGGAAAGGATAGTATAGTAGGACGTGTAGTAAGTAGGACGGGTAACAGGACAGGGAGGATGGGAAAGCGATGGAAAAGCGATGGGATAAGGTGAAGTAAGGTACCCCAGGAGCGGTAGTCGGGTCGGTGGTCGGGGGATGTGAGGCTGGGAAGCACGAGCAGCTCTTCGTCTTGGAAGGCGAAAGCTCAAACTCGCAGCCCAAAAGGTAAAGTAAGGCACGTTCGGTTCCGGGTTTTGAGCGCGTGCCTATCCCCCAACTTGGCAAGGTAGTAAGCCTTTACAACGACTGCGACAGCGCATCAGCAGAAGCAGAAGCAGACAAAGTCGGGAAGCAGCCATAGCCCGGGAGCGTTGGCAGGATTGGATAGGCACGAGGAAAACCCAAGACCCCGGGGACGCCAAGCAAGAGTTGCTTGCGGTGCTTGCAGAGAGCGCACAGCACAATGATGCAACCTTCTCAGCGGGACGTCAAGCAACGCGAGTCTTCATTGGATGCCACCAGCGCAGCTGGGGGCAAGGCATCCGGAAGTCGAGGACGTGGACCAGGGCCAGGACGGATAGTATGTACCTAGGTACTTGGTAGGCCCACTAAGGTAACCTAGTGTACCTTACCTACCTACTGAGCACAAATGCGATGCGCCACTGCCGAATCAAAAGACGGCCCTCTCGCCTCACCATCCCATGATGATTCCCATCCGAGTGCCGCCGTACTTAATGGGCATCTCGGTTTGACTTGGATGATCGGTCCAACATGGAGGTCGCTGCTAAGCTCAAGGGCTGACTTTCGCCCCACGCAGTCCATACCCAAGCCAATTTCACCTCAAACTCATCATCTAAAGTCGGTCAGACTCAGCACTTTACGACAGAAGCGTCTTGCAGGAACGGGCTCTTGGTCCTCGCCAACGCCAGAAAGTCAATATATTACTTACTCAAAGAGAAGAGAGGGTGTGCGGTCCAAGTGCCACAGCAAAGCCAAGCATGCTCATCCTCGCCTCCCCGGTCCTTGCTTGCAGTCCCGCCTGTCCTGCTTTCCACGTCTCAATGGATGCCCAGGCGCAGGCATCGTCTGTCTTGGCAGGGGACCAGGCCCGATCGATATGTGTTAAAGGCATTTTTGCGCCCTGTGGACGTGCGCCCATGTGCAATGGGGGTGCATCCGAGTGCCGCCGCTTACTGTGTACTACTATACGTACGCAGCACACCCATTGTTGTTGTAGCTGTGAGATGCTGCGTCGCATACAGGAGTGCAACCGGCACTACCCTGAGATCTGAGATGGGCATCAATGCGAACAACAGCCAGGAACCGCACCACGTCACGTTCTGCCCCACCCGCCACGACCGCCGCCACGGCAAATGGGCCTCGAGCCTCCCCCGCTGACACAGGTACAGAGCGAGTCAAGATCCGCCGCACGCCTCAGTCTCGTTGATCCCGGACCTGGGTCCGTAGCTAAGGTAATTAAGGTGAGCCTCGACTTTGCAGGCCGCCATATTGCCGCCATATGCCTTGGCAACAACCACCGGACTCCTCTCGTCCCACAATCCTCTCGGCCAACGGCAGCATGGAGATTGCCCATCTAAAGCAAGGCAACACAAAGCTTGTTCGATCCAAAAGGTCGACAACACGGCCTGCCAGAGACAAACTTTACTTCGTTGGGCCACGTCTTCGGACGACAATGCACATGAGATTCGTTCCCGCTCCTCGCCGCGCCGCACAGAAGCGAACTGACCGAGGCAGAGAGTTCACATGAGAAACAGCCTAACAGCACCCAGTCCGCAAGCGCAGCGCAAAGTAACGCCGGATAAACCTTTGCTGCGAGGTTCTTTCCTAGAGCTAGAGTATACACGTTACAGTCCTCTCTCAGCAACCAGAAGCTCATACGTCCATGCCCACCTCGGGAGATCACACGCCTAGTGCTACAAGCATGAACCCATAAAACGGCAAGTTGCCTCTCCAAGTGCGCAACGCCAACCAAACGGCCAAATAACAAACCCCCGTAAATCATTTCGTGTGTCCTGTGTCCGGTGTTATGTGCTGTCATTGAGATACCTTGTTGGTTTGGTCCTGATCTTCTGTCGTAGTACAGGGTCGTTATGCCCGGGAACCGTCTTCCGGGTCTCCTGGGTGGACATGATTCCGCCACTCAAACACCCGGTTCATCCCGCGGCCGGGTCCTGTGAGGCCAGCGAGCGTTGAAGACTTGGGTTCCGCGTATGGACGCCGCCGACTGGGCGTGGCGTGTATCGCTGCCTCTGCCTCGTAGTCATGAGCCACGCGTCCATGTACTACTCGCTCTGAGGGTCGCATGGTTCTGGCGCTGTTATACAGTTCCTCCTCCATAGTGTGTCGCCGAAGCATCGGCATTGGCGGCGGGTGCCCCATTCCTAGGGGCGCCGTCAAAGGAGGAGGGGGCCCCATGGGGGACGCCGTCATCGGCCCGAGAGGCGAAATCGTATGCGGCGGTGGTGGCCCCATCATCCCCGACCGGGAGGGGCTGCCCGGGCTGGAACGGAACTCCGAGAAGCGCTCAGCCAGGCGCTGGCCCATCGAGTCTCGTTGGCTCATCGTATCCTGAGGGAGGCCTCGTGCCCGGGTGACGCCTGACATGTAGTCGGTCGGCGTGGGGCGCTCGAAAGCCGCCGGTGGCGTTGGTGCGGGTGGCACTGGTGGTCCGGATACGAATACGTCGTCAGCTTCTCTGCGATAATCATCACTTGCGTAGTTTCCAATCGTTGTGTTGGCGCCAGTAAGTTCCCCGTATCCTCTGTCAAGAACGTCGTCGTCTCCGTAACTCAAAAATCTGCGCGTGTCGTCGTCACGGTTGTCTTGAAACCTACGAACGAGTCTGTCTTCGTAATCTTGGGACCGAGACCGAGGTGACGGCCCCGAGCGAAGCGCCGGCCGCATGCCCCTGGATGTCATGGTCAAATCCAGCCTTTCAAGCCGCTGGATCACTGCCGGAATTTGTACGTCGGGAAGCCTATCCGCGTCTGTCGTGTCATAATTGAACCATGGGCAGTCGCAGTTCTTCCATTTGACGCCGCAAATCATGCAGAATTGCGCTCCGCAGCGACTGCTATCGTCAGCAAAGCCCCGATCGCAGACAGACGGTCGACCAATGATGCTTACCATGTCATATGGTTGCAGCCTTCCTCGAGTTCAATCATGTGATTGCACTTGTAGCATCGCTGCCAGCCGGCCTCTTTGGCCTGCTCAAGAAATCTTGTGGTGTCTTCATCGTCGGGACAGTCTCTTGACGAGTGCCATTTCCCTTTGCAAGAGCAGCACACATCAGTTCCGCATACCCTGCAGGAGCCGCACTTGCGACTCCCTCTGCGATAGATGTCCGATGGTCTGATCCATGCTCCGCAGCGTCGCGAGGAGCAGTAGATCCGGTTACGGGTCGAGTACTCCAAATACTTTCTGTTCCAATTCATCTTGAAGTCAGATGACAGCAGACGCTCGACATACTTGAGCGGGATGACATCTGGCGTGCAGCACCTGGGAGGCATAGACTGGGGATCCGTGATGGAAAGCTGGAATCGCCATTCAAGACAAGACTCGCACATGCGGTGGCCACAACTGAGCTTCGGAACTTTCGAAGACCGATGTTCGTCCATACAAATCATACACTGTGCCCTGCAGTGATATCATTAGCACGTGGCACACCAGAGGAATATTGACTCCGGAGGCTCCTAGACGGCGACTCACATTTTGACAGGTTTCTCGGGCGAGCGAGAACGTACGCTCCTGGCGAGCCTTTGGCCCATGAAATTAGATGAATGTTTAGTCGACGAAGCTGTGCTGTGCGATGTGACCTGGGATGCCGCCCTCGAAAGAGTGTGGGAGCGTCGAATCATCCGAGAGTCTCTATACACAACATCTGACTGATGTCTTCTGGAAGGTCTGCTCGGGCCAACATCAGAATCACCTCGGTAAGGGAGCGTTCCGTATGCCAACCTTTTGGAGGACGTAGGAGGCTTGGAGACCATCTCGCAAGTCTTCGCTGGAGGCCGGTGTTGGCTCGGCCTCCTTGCGGGACTGTGGGAGCGCTGCCTCGAGAAATGCCTCTCGGAAGCCGAACGAGACAGACGAGAGCGATGCCGCAAGGGAGATCTGCTGCGTTCATCGAGAGACTGACGCGATTGTCGCGGCGTGTGCACGGTCGATTCATCATCGTCTTCTTCCACATACACGATTTCCTTAATCTTCCTGCGGCGCTTGGGCGTCTTCTTCTTTCTCTCCTCTGGAGAGAGCCGCCTTTCCTCCAGCACGAGGCGGTGCGTGCGTTTCTCATGCTTCCCTCTCTCCTTCTCCCGCTTCACCCTCTCGTGCCGTCTCTGGCGTTTCTCTTCCTGGGTCGATATACTGGTCGCTGACTCCTCGTCCGTCTCGGTGTCCGTGCCAGACTCTGAAGATGCGGAAGATCTCTCCCTTGCGTAAGGTCGACGGGGCCGGGAGGGCTGGGCGGCTCTTGGGCTCCGAGCACGCCGAGGACTCACCCTCCGGCCGGGCGTGGGCGACTCGGTCTCGCCAAAGTCATCATAGGCGTAGTCTGCGGCTGGATATCGTCCCCTTCTATAGGTTTCCGTCACTGGGGCTCTCGACAGCACAGGTACGGGCATCGTCTCGATGACGGTGGCAGACGCGCCGCTGCTGTTCCTGGAGGTTCGGCTTCGTCCGGGGGACGAAGTTATCTCGGGTCCTTGTATAAGGTCTTTGGGCCTCCGATATGGGAGCGAATCTAAGGACGTCTCACCACCGGCACGCCAACCATGGTCAGCGACAGGCAGCGGCCCTTGAGGGTAGCGGCGTCGGGTCGTTGTCCTGTGCCAGTCTTCCACATCTCGGTAGGCCATTGGGCGTCAGAAAGCCTCATCCGGGAGAGGGAGCGGGAGGAAATTGGGATCGAGGCAGGACGGGACGGGAAGTCGTGAGGCGAGGGTGTGGGAAAAAGGGCAGCGGAACAGCTGGTTGCTCGCGAGTGGGCGGACTTAATGCATGCCTATAGCTGTGATTGGGCTTGGATGACGGGTTGCATGTCGGCCATGCACTATGCAGGCGGGCGAGAGATGATATGGCGCGCCCTAAGAATCGGGACGATGGCGATTGTTTGCCTCGCTCTCGTGAGGTATCAATCGGGCAGCAGCGCAAGCTGTTTGGTCGGGTTGTCGTGTGTTGTGGAGAGGTGAGAATTGAGAGGGACCAAACAGGATGCGGGCTGCTTCCTGTCTGCTGGGCGGCTGGTGGGATCACGAAATACCGAGATAGGTAGATGATCGAGGTGGTCAAGCCAGGCTACCTTACTTACGGACTTGGGACTAAGTAGTCAAGGTAGGCAAGGTAAGTAGGTAGGTAAGGTAGGCAGTAGACATGACAGATGGAACGAGGGGTTCTTGTTTATTCGGCGGTACGAGACACGTCCAAGGCAAGGAAAGCAGGCAGCCTAAGGTTGCCGCGAGTGGCTGTCCCCAGTCCCATAAGGGCAGAAAAGCAAGCAAGGGAAGGGACATTTCCCGTCGAATCCTCAAACCTGAAAATGACTGCAACATGGCAAGGCCGTTTGTGTGTGTGTGTGAGAGAGAGAGGGAGAGAGAGAGAGAGAGTCATTCCATAGCCCGAGCTGCAGCTGCGAAAGGGGGTTAGGGGCGCCACAGATGCGGCAACCGATTGGTTCCCCTTCCACGTCCAGGGCTACGTGTTGCGGCAGTGGGGTGGAATCGAGACGTTGCTGTCTCTGTGTGTCTCTGCCACTCACTCTGCTGCTCCACCTTGAGAAGGCAGATGGAAGCAATCAAAGTCGATTCATACAGATGCACCGGCCCGTTTGAAGTTTGTTCCATCACGTCGGCTTTCCGTCCCAGAAGATGCTGACGTGACAGACAGACGGCAAAGACACACGGCCGATGCGTCCGCCGTGAGTCGTCGTCTGAGCAGGCGGCCAGTCCGAACTCCTCCACCACCTGTTGCCAAGGTTGGCAGAAGGGACTGGACGGTTGGTTCACTTCAGTTCACACCGTGCGCGTCCAGCAGCGCGGGAGAGGAGTGAGGGGGCAGGAGGTGAAGTGCCTTGGGGAACGGTGAGGGAACCCTGAAGGATGCTTCGCGGGAGCGAACCGGAGGCTGAGCCTTGATGTTAGCGCTGTCGCTCTGCAGGGGCTGCCCTGGATGATCTGACCGCTCTGGCCGCCGTTGCCCTGGACCGCCCTGGATTTGCCCTGACGTGCCCTGATTTGTTGCCCTCCCAGAGCAGTCCCGACCCGTCCGTCTTACAAGTTACAACAGCCGTCTGCAGTGTGCGGACGTCGCAGAAGCGAGCGAGCCGCTGGAGTCACGCACCGTGGCGTCGCGCCATGCCATCTTGACCCATGACAACGGTGCCGGCCCGTCATGAGGGCTGTGATCTGACACATAGTCTCATTGTGCACTGAAGGAACCCAAGGTTACTCAAGTACCTACCTAGGTACCTTACGTTGGCAATTGGATACGTAGTGCCTTGAGGTAAGGTGCTGAGGGTCTACCCTAACAATCCACTCTTCCCTACGATATCGAACACCGAAATCCCACATGCTGTGCACAAGGTTCACCACAACGTGCAAAATCGGGCCATGCACCATAATGCACGTTAGCTAGTCTGAACGGCGTCTCGGTCTGCCGATGTCTGCCGTGCTTTCCCGTCCCGGTTGGTCGGTGCGGGGCCGGTCCGGTGGTCGGAGCTACTGCCTGGTCTCGTGCGGCTGACCGCCTTATCTCATGCCCGGATTCCTTGGCTCAAAATTTCGCAGAATGCATCCTGACCAAGAAATGCGAGCTAATAGAGGCCTGGTGGCTGGATTGATTGGAGAAAGAAGCAGATTAACGGCAATTCCTAACTCTATACAGGTATACTAATACCCGAGCTCCAAGTGCTTTATTCGGGGAGAACTCCCTTGGGACATCACCTAACTCAGAAGGAATCGAATACAACGACGAGAAGGACGACGAGAAGGACGACGAGAAGGACGACCAGACCGCCGCTCACACGAGGACTGTACATTGTATCCACTAGCATTTCAGGCGGGTAGATTCTCTTGAATGTTCATAGCACAGTCATGGTGTTTCAGCTCGTGTACTTCAAATTTGTGCACGTAGCGTCAACGACAATCTACTACGAGTGAATGCGATTTGTTGACCTCAGTGGCCGCTCTTTGAGATACAGCTCCTCTGGTAACGTACCTGTTTTGGTACATCTCAACATGAGACTGCTGGAGATGCGTGGCCAGGCGAAAGTTGCCGCTCTTGCAAGCAAGACCGAACTCACCGCAACCCCGGCGCATCGAGCGGACTATAAAGCGCACAAATACCGGCATCTGCTTCTTTTCCTATGCGGCGGCGCCTGCATACAATTTCTCGCATCCATCGCCAATTTTGACAGTCCGCGTTCGCTCGGATTGGTGGATCTTCCGTCCTCCACACGACATCCTGCACCTCCCCCGATGCTTCGGTCCCACGATTGCCCGTGCAGGGCCATCTGGTCCGTTCCCGCATCCTGGACTCCCGGCTCTGAACCCCACATCCGCACCGGCACTCGAAAACGGATACTTGGTCCCGGTACCACGGTGCCTTTTGCCTCCTTCCAGAGCTGAAGAGTTATCTGTCAGGGAGGTTTATTACGCAGTGGTTCGTTCATGTCCCACGTGTGCCCTGAGGAGGTTCCCGGAAAAGAAGAAAAAAAAGTGGGGGGTTGCAGCGACATAGCGGCGATTGACCCTCGCATTCCTTTGGACCGACGCCGCCAATCCGCGGGCTCGGAACGCATGTTGATGTCGAACAGACACTGACGAGCAGAGAGGTGCTATCTCACCACGATCGAATGCCGGCTATCGACTTGGAGGCCGTCGGTTGGCTATGTGGCGCGCGCCAGTCCTCGTGCATAGACAATGACAGCCAATTAATATGAGGCATGCCGGCACCCGCGTTGTCGATAGATACCTTGACTGCTTCCAGAAGGCGCGATATGAAGCTACCAATATCAACTCGTCATTATTCGTTGATTCCTTGTCCACAAAAAGCACGGAAATCTGGACATGTTTACATTTCCTCACCCGCGCACATCTCCATCAAATGGGCCGTGTTCGATCAAGAACCCACAAGATAGACAACCGCGAGATTGACTGCATGTTACCAAGAAATCGCGACGTCTCCTAATGACAAGGAAGAGTACAACATAGAGTCAGCATAGCGCGCCTCGTGACTGCCCTGTATGTGAGATCGCTTGACATGCATCCTCCAAGTCTTTCCCCTTGCGTGCATGCAACTCATGGGTGGGAACCCCGCGCAGCCCAAGCTTGTTGGGGCAAGTTTGCGTCCCTGGACTGATCGCCCTGCAGCATAATCTCACGTCCTGCTGGACGTAGACTGTGACCTTCTGAATGGGGGATTATTTGTCCTGTTTGGT